AGATAGATAGATAGATAGATAGATAGATAGATAGATAGATAGATAGATAGATAGATAGATAGATATGGATGGATGGATGGATGGATGGATGGAAGATAGGTAGGTAGATAGATAGATAATAAATAGGTAGACCGATAGGTAGATAGATAGATACATAGATGGCTGGCTGGCTGGTGGATAGGTAGATAGATGATAAATAGGTAGATAAGATAAGATGATAGATAGGAAGACAGATCGGTAGAGAAATAGGTAGGTAGGTAGGTAGGTAGGTAGGTAGATAGATGATATGGAGGGAGGGAGGGAGGGGGAGAGAGAGAGAGAGAGAAAAATATATAAAATAACTATGGGGTTAGAATTATGACAACCAAAATATAGATTACACAATTAACCAACTGACCTCAGGGATGTCTTCTCAGCAGACCCAAGACACCAACCTCCCCTCCCCCAAAAGCCACAGGGGGATTTCGTGATTTCATTTCTAATCATCCTCATCACATTTTTTTTTAATTTCTGAGCGGGGGGGGGGGGGGGGGAGGACCACCCTACCTTCTCCGCCTGAGCCTCAAGAGACTTGAGGTTGTTGGTAACGTTCTTCAGCTCCTCTTCAAATTCTGAACATTTACTGTGCGCGTCGCGGAAGGCGGAAAAAGAAAAGATGGGGAGAGGGGGTAAAAGAAGAAGAAGAAGAAAGGGACAGAGAGGGAAGGACGGACAGAGGAGAGAGAAAGAAAGAGAAGTGAATCTTTGAGCTGGGGAGGGGGCAGGGGGCGAGATGTTGAAGTTATCTTTGGCACCCGGTGGGAATTTCACCCAGCCTATCAAGTCTCCAAATGGATGTATGCATAATTTTGTTTTTTACCTGGTCGTGTTAAATCGGAGAGTTGTGTGCAATGAAATTTCATTTTTAATGTGTGCCAATTAGTGTACATTCAAAGCGACAATAAAGTTTATTCTAATTCTAATTCCTAATTCTATTCTATTCCTTATTCTATTTTATATTTTATTCTATTTTATTCTCAATTCTGTTATATTCTATATTCTTCTCTATTCTTTCTCTTCTATATTCTCTTCTCTATTCTATTTTACATTCTGTTCTCTATTCTGTTATGTTCTATATTCTCTATCCTATACTTATCCTATTCTACTCTATATTCTTTCTATTGTCTTTTCTATTTTATATCTTCTCTATTCTATTTTATATTCTATTCTTTATTCTCTATTCTATTCTCTATACTGTTATATTCTATATTCTTCTGTATTCTTTCTATTCTATATTCTCTTCTCTATTCTATTTTACATTCTCTCTATTCTGTTATGTTCTATATTCTCTATCCCATCCTCTATCCTATCCTTATCCTATTCTAGTCTATATTCTTTCTATTGTCTTCTCTTCTCTATTTTATATCCTCTTCCCTTCTCTATTCTATTTTATATTCTATTCTATTCCTTATTCTCTATTCTATTCTCTATACTGTTATATTCTAGATCCTATTCTTATTCCATTCTGAATGGAGGGTGGCACCGATACCAGAAGGCCAACATGCCCAGTTTACAAGCTGGTAAGGACAGCCACTAAAGAGCCCAGCCGTGCCAGAATCTGGCTGGAACTGTCCTGGTTCAAACCAGCAGCCCCAACGACTGCCTGTTGGATAGAAAGCCAAAAATGCTTCTTCTTTTTTTAAAGGAGGGGTGGGGGGGGGAGTGGATTGGGGAAGGCAAGTTCAGGGAAAGCAGAGCCCATCAAGCATCGAAGGCAGCGAGGAGAGGGGGGGGAAAAAGAGAGTCGTGCACGCAGGGGGGAAAAAATGAGAATTTAGGAGCCTCGGCGCGCGCGAGAGAGAGAGATATTAGTACCTTGTCTTCAGCCTGAGAAAGGAATTTCAAGTTTTGGTCCATCAGACGGTTCTGCTCATTCATTTCTCGTAAGCGGCTGGTTTAGGGACGGCCACACGTTCGAGGCGGGGGGGGAGAGAGGGGGGGCCGGAAAGGAGCGGCGGCAGCAGCGGCGGCAACAACGGAAAAAAAGAGGCAAAGCGGCCATGAAAGGGACGGACGGACGGAGGAAGGGGAGGAAAAAAAAGAGGAGAAATAAAAATTGGTCACAACACATGCATGGCGGGAGGGAGAGGATTTTCGGGGGGGAAGGGGGCTGGTTTTTTTGGGGGGGGTTGCGTGCCATAGGGGATGGGTAGGTGTTGGGGTGCCTTACACGAGGCCAGGAAGCTCAGCGGGGTGAAAACGAAAGCCGCAACTCCAGGGTTGATTGTGCGGGAGGTGATTCGGAGCAGGCTGTGCTGGGACACCCATCGTCCCCCCCGCTGATTCAGACATGCACCTGGTGGTCTGGCTCAGGAAGGGGGTCTCCAAACTTCCTTCCCATCCATCTCTTCCTCCTGGCCATTCCTTCCTTTTCTCTTCCTCCTGGCCCTTCTTTCCTTCCTTCCATCCATCCATTTCTTCCTTCTGGCCCTTCCGTCCATCCATCTCTTATTCCTGCCCTTTCCTTCCTTCTCTTCCTCCTGCCCCTTCCTTCCTTCTATCCATCTCTTCTGTCCCTTCCCTCCCTTCTCTTCCTCTTGCCCCTACCTTCTTTCCTTCCTTCGTTCTCTTCCTCCTGCCCCTTTTTTCCTCCCATCCATTTCTTATTCCTGCCCATTCCTTCCTTCCCTTCCTCCAGTGCCTTCCTTCTTTCCTTCCATCCATCTCTTTCTCCTGCCCCTTCCTTCCTTCCTTCCTCTTCCTCCTGCCCCTTCCTTATTTCCTTCCACCCATCTCTTATTCCTGCCCCTTCCTACCTTCGTTCCCTTCCTCCTGCCCCTTCCTTCTTTCCATCTCTTACTCCTGCCCANTCTATGATTGTAACCTTGTTTTTTTCAACCAGTGTGATGTCTGGTGTATTATGCGCCAGTATTTTGTCCGTTTATTATTATTATTTTAATCTTTGGTGAGATTCACAGCCTTTGGAGCTGGTTGGTAGCTCAACAGCTCGAGTCCTAACCAAGGACATAGGAACTGTTAAGGTAACTTATTATTATTATTATTATTTGGATTATTGATGATAATCATCAATGTGAAAGAGCCCTTTGGGGGAAAAACATGGCCTGGATGACTGAGGAACCTACCTTCCAAGTCATCGATGGTCTTCTCCAATTTGGCGACCGATCTCTCGGCAAACTCGGCACGGGTCTCGGCCTGTGAAAGGCAGGAGAAGAGGAATCAGACAACGTTCCTGGCTGAATCATGGGATGGTTTCAAAGCAAGGCGGGTAGAAAAGATATCATGAGTAAGGGCAACAACGGAAAGGAAGGGAGATGAGGAGGGAAAAGAAGAAAGGGCAAAGCAGAAAAAGTAAGAGTGGGGAATTAAGAGTAGGAGAGAGGGTAAGAAAGAGGAGAAAGGAGGAGGGATAGGGGAAAGAGAAGGAAGAAGAAAAGAGGAAAGGAGAGGAGGAAAGAAGGATAAGAGAGTAGTGGGGAAAAGAGAGAAAAGAGGGAGAGGAGGAAAGGAGAAGAAGAGAGGAGGAGTGGGGCAAAGAGAGGGGAAGAGGAAGGACAGGAGGAAAGAAGAAGGATAAGAGAGGAGTGGGGGAAAGAGAGAAAAGAGGGAGAGGAGGGAAGAAGGAGAAGAGAGGAGTGGGGCAAAGAGAGGGGAAGGAGAGCAGGAAAGGAGGAGGAGAAGAGAGAGCGGAAAAAAGAAGAGAGGAGGAGCGGAGGAAAGAGAGGGGCAGAGGAAAGGAGGAAGGAGAGGAGGAAAGAAGAAGAGAGGAGGCGTGGGGCAAAGAGAGGGGAAGGAGAGCAGGAAAGGAGAAGGAGAGAGAGTGGAAGAAAGAAGAAGAAGAGAGGAGGAATGGGGGAAAGAGAGGGGAAGAAGAAAGGAGGAAGGAGAGGAGGAAAGAAGAAGAGAGGAGGCGTGGGGCAAAGAGAGGGGAAGGAGAGCAGGAAAGGAGAAGGAGAGAGAGTGGAAGAAAGAAGAAGAAGAGAGGAGGAATGGGGGAAAGAGAGGGGAAGAAGAAAGGAGGAAGGAGAGGAGGAAAGAAGAAGAGAGGAGGCGTGGGGCAAAGAGAGGGGAAGAAGAAAGGAGGAAGGAGAGGAGGAAAGAAGA